AWTTTWMCMAAAAAAATGCCAAARTGGTACTTCATAAGAAGGTGTATTGAGCCACATAAGACCCTTGGGATATACAGTATTTAACTACTAGGGGTGTATAAAAAAATCAATRCACTGAAAAATCACAATATTTAATTTCCTAATACTGCATTGATTCTCTAAAGTGCTAAACTGATTTTTAATTCAGACTTAAAATGTAAACTTTCACCAGCGACTCTTGCTTGTGTTGCATTTTAGCCTCCAATSGCTAGTTAGCAGAAATAAACCTGCCATTTGGCTCCTCCACTCCAAGGACCATAGKATAATGCTAGCTCTAACGTTAGCACTGTGAGTTAATGGCTACGTTCACACTGCAGGTACTAAATGCGACTCAAATCAGATTTTTTTGCCCCATCTGACCCATATTTGATTTTTTATGACTGTCCGAACGTGAAAAATCCGATTTTTTTCAAATCCGACCCAGGCCGTTTCAGTATGTGGTTCTAAACTGAATACATATCTGATGTTTTCAAAGCGACTGCAGTGTGGACGCTCATGTCACATTACATCTGACTTTTTCATCAGGAGGAGGGGCCGAAGGACCGATAAGACACTAACCTCAAGTCTCGCTGTTTAAATCCATAGCTCCATGTGTTTACAGCTCCAAAACACAAGTCCATTTGTCTTTTTACTTTTAATTTTCCATGTAGATAGTATGATAATAACGATGTCCAGCTTGGGTCGCAGAGCGTATCGATCCTAAAGTTACTCGTTCGATACTTTATATCCAGCTCGTTGCTTCGTTCCAAAAATAAAATGCTTCACCAGAGCATCCAATCAGAGGCAGGTTCAGATATAAATATTGAACTAAACAAGCACGTCAGATAATTATTTAATCAGCTCTGAGATTAAACAACAGCTTCAGATTCGATGTACTAAAAATAGCATCCATGCTAGCTCTGTAAACAAACAAGCCGGCTGAATGAGAAGTCACATCTTTACTGCACATACAGGTCACATCAGTGCTGTGTAGGGTCCACACTGGAGTCTGATGCAGGTTGCATTTAAAATGCAATGTGAATGTTCACACCAAAAGATAGGATTTTTTTCAAAAAAATCAGAACTGAGCATTAAGACCTGCAGTGTGAACGTAGCCAATGTTAGCACTAAGTACCGATGGTCTAATCTGAGCTGATGAGACCTTCAAAGCTGACAGTAACACAGACTGCAGCAGCTTCATATGGCCCATTTACTGAATTAAGCACAAGATATAATGTCAGTGTGGTGGGTGATCATATTTTTTTTACAATTAATATTATAGTTGTATTAAATTATTTAATGGCACATTTGGCCTAACAATTGAAAACACAAAAAAAAAAATATGAAACATATAAAATACATGTATAACATAATTTGTATACTTTAATTTGTTTTTAAACATAGAATATTTGGAGCTAAAAATGGCAATATATCAAAATATATTGTAGTGTGACCCCAGTGTCATGATATGTATCATATCAAATTCTTGCCAATACACAGCCCTAACTACAGGCAATAGCTGATTTTTTTTTTTTTTTACTTTAATGTGTTTGAATGTTAAACTGTTCTATTATTGGGCCAAGCAAAACAACATATGTCACAGAAAAAAACCCCAATCAATCTCCTTCCAGTTCAGCATTTTATGTGACTACACAGTCGGGCAAACAGGATAATTAGATCCAGCAACATTATTTTGACACAACGGATGAGCAAAAATTGAGCCCGCCCACATCGAGGTCACCAGTTGTGTTGGCTCAGTGCTGRTTTTCCTCAGAAATGATCCCTGCTGCAATCTTAGTGTGTTTGCACGWATGCACAAGCTGCCACAAAGTGCTGACAGCACCTGTCAGTCCTCCAGCTAAACGCTGTTAGAGGTGTGAGTGGGTGCATCGTCTCCACAGTGTGGTGAGAACACACATTCACAGCAGCAGCAGCGGTGAATTTTGTACTCCAGATGGCACCATTAGCTTGCTGTAGTTGTGTTGTAATTCRGTATCAATATCTTACAAGAATTTAAGTCCAATTACAAAATCCATGATTGTAATCTAAGTAAAAGGTAAGTTCTGTTTTTTTTCCTGCTGCACAATTTGCACATCATCATTCACTAAAGTTGAGAGAGGAAAACAAGCTTGCTTGTTAATCTGGAAAACTGAATCGAATCAAAYACAAGACAGAGTCCAGATTGACTGTGACTGATCATTAGATCATGTTGACATGTACGCTCCCTGTCCTTTAGTCCATACTAACAACATTTAGTTGTTTGACCCTTGATTTGATTTCTGCAGCTTCACGTTTACCCTTTTCATACYGTCTGAGGAATTGACATTTGTTCGGTGAAAAAAAGGATTTTGCTCAGCAGCGGAGTTCTATTGATGGAAGTGTTACACTGACCAACTCAATTTAGATTTATTTGTTGGGGATCTTACCCAGATATCGAAACAAACAATGCCGACTGCTGCTTCGGACCAGAGTGAAAACAGAAGAGAGCTCCTCAGATTTCCCCTGCAAGAAAAAAAAAGAAAGGGAAGAGGTCAAGATTTATCAGACTTTAGTGAATTTCATCTTTGTCTCCACGTCAAAGACAGATCTCTCTCTCTGTCTCTCWCTCACACACAGACACATATTTGTTCTTCTATCCTCTTAAGGACTTTGCATTGACAACCATTTTACCAGGCATTTCTATTGCCTAAACCTGASACCTGACCCTAAACCTAACCTCACAGGTACATACACAACTCTAAAGCTAGTCTCAAGTTCAGACACTAGCCCTAACCTTAACCCCTGACCTACAAATGGGATTTTTCCACTATGTCTACCTGGCAAATGTTCATACAGCAACAAAATGTCCTCATAAACATAGCATAAAACTATGTCCACACACTGAGAGGAAGACACACGTGTACACACGCACACACTCACAACACAGCACTCTGCTAAGATGCTTTTGTATTTCAAGCAGGTTATTTTTCATTGTGCATAATGAACACTACTAAAAATAGACATCTCCACACACGCTGACATCATCTCCACACTGTTCTACTGGAACTACTGGTCCCTATTAGAGCATACAGATATAAAATATGAAGACGAATCAAACAGGGCTGACAATTTTCAAGCACAAGTTCTAATGTTAGCCGTTAGCCCTCGGAGTATGTTTTGAGGATGACTCGCAGNACCTGACCCTAAACCTAACCTCACAGGTACATACACAACTCTAAAGCTAGTCTCAAGTTCAGACACTAGCCCTAACCTTAACCCCTGACCTACAAATGGGATTTTTCCACTATGTCTACCTGGCAAATGTTCATACAGCAACAAAATGTCCTCATAAACATAGCATAAAACTATGTCCACACACTGAGAGGAAGACACACGTGTACACACGCACACACTCACAACACAGCACTCTGCTAAGATGCTTTTGTATTTCAAGCAGGTTATTTTTCATTGTGCATAATGAACACTACTAAAAATAGACATCTCCACACACGCTGACATCATCTCCACACTGTTCTACTGGAACTACTGGTCCCTATTAGAGCATACAGATATAAAATATGAAGACGAATCAAACAGGGCTGACAATTTTCAAGCACAAGTTCTAATGTTAGCCGTTAGCCCTCGGAGTATGTTTTGAGGATGACTCGCAGTTACTACCAAACCAAATATGAGCTCCACATTTAGACATTTCAATGAGATGTTACAGTTTTTGTGTTTTGAAGTTCYTTAGAAGAATTTCATTGTATCATCTTAAAATGTTAAACAATTGTTGATGTTTAGTTGCATGAAATTTTGTTCAGCGTGTCATGAAAAACTTTAATAGACAATCTGTAATTTCCCCTTGGGATCAATAAATTATCATTCATTCATTCAAACGCACAAAAGGACAACTTGGTTTTTCAATAGAGGTTACCATACCATCTACCATAGTCCTGATTCTAATCTGTGCATGAAGGCAAGAATACTTGATTTAATCGTGTCCACTGACAATCCTGCAGGTTTTGATAATCACCAGGATTTTGTCAGACCTGATTGTGTAATTTAGCATGAAGAGATCAGTAAAACACTAAATGCTAAATTCAAATGCCACAGCGACACAAATAACTGACACATCTTGAGTCTTTGTGATGTTCAGAGTGGAAAAAATGACAGATTTTGGACTCTGACACCTTCCCTGACCAACTGCTGCCCCTTGGCACTGTTCTGTATCTACAAAGCTCTACAAATGGGAAGTTTTTCCAGCATTTGCATTTTTCCATCTCATATTTTTCTACTTTGCCAAAGCTCTTGATATGCAAAACTCATATGTTTACTTGGGAGATCAAAGTTTCTCTCTCCCTCCCCTTCCTTCGTTTCCCATCTAAAAATGGCCTCCCTTCATTATGCAAGCCAACAAAGACAGCCAAGCCTGCTCACCCCCCACACCCAATTCCAAGCATACTGATTAATTAGCTTGTATAATTAGCTTAATGATTTAGAGAAACACGGCCATGGCCACCTAAGAAGCTATGCTAATGAACCTCATGTCTCCCACAATTAAAATGCCCATATCTTAACAATGGTGGTTTGGAAGTCCAGATAACAAACGTGAAGGCAGAGCAGAAAAAAATAGATGCTAATTGATGTAGCATGGTGTAGCTACTGTTAATGAACTTGGAGGTGTAGTTTTTATGAGAGAGACGGTGTTTAGAAGTCATGCATTTTATTTCAAGTGTTGAGATAATGGTTTTTCCCCTGAAACAGAACTCTCACAAAATAATCACTTAATTTGAATCTACAATTTATTAACTTTTGAGGTCAATCGCATTGAAGGTGATCACTGTAGCTCAGCAACCAGACACCTACATTACTAACCACAAACAACTGGAGCTAAATTTTAGGGTGATGGTAAAGGAATTAAATTCAACACATTCTCTTAATGCTAACACATATTTTACAATATCGCATGAGTAAGTTTATTTACAAGATTTGACCAAAACTCATGAAATGATCTGCAACAAAATTGTTGACATGAAAGTCAGCAGGTGATATGTATTTTGTCAACAAACAGGTATAACAGCAGAAGTTCAGACACCACTGGAAAACTACAAGCAAATGAAGTCCTTTAGTTTCTTMCAATGACAATTAATTTTGGTGCCAGCGGTTCGCTCTGTGCACTCAGACCTTAAATTAGATCTGGTGTGTGTGATGTAAGATGCTGAAAGTAGGGGGAAAAGAACTGCTTTTCTAAGGAGCAAATTTACAGCCTTATCTGTCACATTATGCYATTCAATATATATTTTCAGCTTTCAGCTTTCAGCTGAAAATATATCTCGAATATATTTTTCAGCTAGAGGATGTTAACTCTCGCTCTGTGTGAGCACACACGCTGTAAAGTGTGCGGCTGCAGACACGGAGTTGTGGACTTTACAGTTTCCATTAAATATGAGTCAGAGCAGACAGTATCTCGGCTCCGTGACAGGAGCATCAGCATTCCTGGATGCACTCTAGACATAAATCGGCCATTTATGACCTTCCGCTGAACAGTAACCAACAGAGACGCCGGCTCAACTCATAAAACCAGCAGAATGTTGAGATGCAGATGAAGCTGGGACACRTCTATACTTGACCTCTAAAGCTGGAGTCAAGTGGAAGCACTTAGAACTAATTTTAGTCTAATAAGTCTATTTTTGCTCATTTTAGCACAAWGACTGAATATTGGGACCATCTTAGTCCTAACTTAATGGTGATTGGTTTCTTTGATGCTGACAGAGCTGAAGAATTTTAAACGCTGTCACGCCAACAACACAGGAAATAGACTGGAGTAAGGAGAGTGAGTTTTATGTTTATATGACCACTGGGAGCTCACTACAGGCCTGATACTAAATACTAGAAGCAAACACTTCAGTGTTGCACCACATAAGCTTTTGTTGYGATAAATCAGTATTTTAACTAAAAAGGTAGTCAAGTTTTGACTGCCTCATAACACAGTTCATATATCTTTCTTTTTGGAAATTAACTGCCACTTTTTTATTTTTACAACCCATTGAACTATAAAGTACTCCTTTCTTCAGCAGCTTGTTCCTGAGCTTCTCCATCTCCCTGTATGTGTGGTATCGTGATAAATATCACGTGCTGATTTGCATGCTAAGTTTTTTTTAATGTGATATTTTATTGCTCAGAGTATGAGTTGAGGATGACTATCAGCCATTAAACCAAATTTGAACTCAAGGTCTGTGAAACTGACAGCCTTTGGCCTTTTTGTCTGTAAGTTGATTGGCTGAGGCAGCCATCTCGAGTCAATTTGATTCTAACAGCTAATCAGTTGTAGATGTACATCCAGTGTTTATTTCCTGAGAATTTCAATATCTTATA